TGTTCAGGGACATGGTTTTGTTTCCCTTGGGTATGCTAAGTGCCACTTCCTGCCCCTTGCCGGCCTCACCCGAGCCATTTTACTTGTGAGTGTGGTTATTTATCATCATTAAAGCGTTTTTCTCTCTCCCTTAGGAATTAATGGTTCACCAAGACACACTTGTACTTTTCTTTTGGGAGTTGCTTCATCATGCGGAATCTCAGGTTACTTCGGACCCTCGAGTTCAGGGATATTCCAGCTGCAGGGAAACCTCAGTGCTTCTCTCTGAGGACGGAGCAGGGAACAGTGCTCATTGGCTCAGATCACGGCCTGATCGAAGTAGATCCCGTCACAAGAGAAGTAAGTTATTGAAGGAGAATGCTAGCACTTAGCGTGGTCCTTTCTAAAGACAGCAGGGCTGTAGCATCTCTCAAATGAAAGTTTGGATTTTAATTGTGAAAAAGCCTTTGTGAAAGCTTTGTTACGATAAAACAGGCATTAAAAAGTATTTCTGGAAGTGTTATGGATTGTTCTTGAAAGCAGACTGAGTTAATTTGGTTCGTGTTTTGATGGAAGGTGAAGAATGAAATTCCTTTGGTGGCGGAAGGCTTTCTCCCAGAGGACGGAAGTGGCCGTGTTGTGGGTGTTCAGGACTTGCTGGACCAGGAGTCTGTGTGTGTGGCCACAGCCTCTGGGGACGTCCTGCTCTGCAATCTCGGCACTCACCAGGTGAGCAGGGCTCCACCGGGATGGAGACCCCCAGCGTCCTCAAGTCACTGGCTCTGGGCTCCTGCTTTCCAGGCAGCAGCCATATTTAGGTATATTGCAAATCTGAGTCTTTGCATTTCCTAAAAAGTTGCTGGCATGACGTTAGCTATTTTTCAGAATTATTCTAAAGCTCAGTTTTTATCTGCTCCATCTGTTAATCAGAACAATCAGAATACTCCAAAATGGGAATTTTTCAATTTATTTGTATTTTATAAATAGAAACTGGCCGTGCCTGTGTGGCGTAGATCTCTTCTTACCAGAACCTGAACTTGAGTGGTAACCTTTACTTCTCAATTTAGAAGTCTTTGAAATGTTTGTATGATTTCTGTTTCCTGTGAGGGGTCCTGGTTAAATCTCTCATTGATGGCTAACTTTAGAGTCCCGGAACTACAGACACTAAAGTAACACACTGTTGTTGTGTGTGTATTTAAAATCACAGGGGAGGTAGACCTCCGCCACCTCCCTCCTCATCTCCTTTGGCGCGAGCTCTCAGATGGACTTCTGGATTTCCATCTTCATATTAACAGGAGGACCTTCACAGGACAATTGCCTGATCATTTTAGTCTTCTTTGAAAACTCATGAGTTGTAACATCTTTAACATTGACTGTGACGTAGTAGTTACGGTATTACTGATAGTAGCACGGTAATAGCAGCTTATATTTATTAAATGTTTACAATATGCCAGAAACACTTTGAAGAGTTCCTGGTTACTGACCTACTTCAGTCCAGTTGTCGATTTCATTTAATCTTCACTACAGCCTTATGAGAACAAGTTTCAGTCTCTTCTGTCATCCATTTTGGCCTTTTCTTCTTTTCCTGTCTTTTTGATGACCTTTTGCTTTTTTTCATGTATGATGTTCTTGATGTCATCCCACAACTTGTCTGATCTTTGGTCATTGTTCATTGTGTCAAATCTGTTCTTCAGATGGTCTCTAAATTCAGGTGGGATTTAATCAAGGTCCTATTTTGGTTCTCATGGACTTGTTCTAATTGTCTGTAGCTTCAACTTGAACTTGTATATGAGCAGTTGATGGTCTATTCCACAGTCAGCTCCTGGCCTTGTTTTGACTGAGGCTATTGAGCTTCTCTGTCAACTCTTTCCACAGATACAGTCAATTTAGTCTGATTGCTGTGTAGTCCGTCTGGCGAGGTCCACATGTGTATCCCCTGTTTCTGTTTGAAAAGTATTTGCAGTGAGGAAGTCGTTGGTCTTATAAAATCCTGTTATGCGATCTCTGGCATCATTTGTATCACCGAGGTCATGTTTTCCAGTGACCGGTGATTCTTCTGAAATGATGAAATAAAAGAGCTGAACAAAACATTTTGAAGGGCAGCTTGATAACACAGAGTGGAATATGACGAAGTGTGCAGAGACCTGGAGTTAGAAAAACAAAACGGAAGAAGACACTGGGCACTTCTCAAGCAGAAAGAATTGAAGAAGAATTCAGGCCTCGAGTTGCAATAAGGAAAGAGTCAATGGGCCAAATATTGAATGATGTAGGAACCATCAAAAGCAGATGGGGTGAATCCACAGAGTCACTGGTAACATATGATCAGGAACCAGTGGTATTCAAGGAAGACGTCAAAGCTGCATTGAAAGAATTGGCAAAAAACCAAGGCTCCAGAAATTGGTAGAATACTCACTGAGATATTTCAGCAACATGCAGATGCTGGAGGCACTTACTCATTTATGCCAAGAAATTTGGAAGACAGCTACCTGGCCAGCTGACTGGAAGAGATCCATATTTGTGCCCATTCCAAAGAAAGGTGATCCCACAGAATGTGGAAATTATGAAGCAATATCATTAATATCACATACAAGTAAAATTTTGCTGGAGATCATTAAAAGTGGTTGTAGCACTATATTGACAGGGAACTTGCAGAAATTCAAACTGAATTCAGAAGAGAACATGGAACAAGGGATATCATTGCTAATGTCAGATAGATTTTGATGGAAAGCAAAGGATACCAGAAAGATGTTTACTTGTGTTTTATTGACTATGCAAAGGCATTTGACTGTGTGGATCATAACTGATTATAGATAACATTACAAAGAATGGGACTTCCAGAACAGTTATACTCATGAGGAGCCTGTACACAGACTCAGAGGCTGTCATTTGAACAGAACAAGGACATACTGCATGCTTTAAAATCAGGAAGGGTGTGCATCAGAGTTGTTAATCTTATCACCATACTTACTCAGTCTGTGTGCTGAACAGGTAATCTGAGAAGCTGGACTATATGGACAGTAATGTAGCATCAGGATTGGAGGAACACTCATTAACAGCCTGAGATATGCAGATTATACTTGCTGAAAGTGAGGATGACTTGAAGCACTCACTGATGAAGATTAAAGACTACAGTCTGCAATATGGATTACACCTTAACATAAAGGAAATGAAAATACTCACAACTGGACCAATAAGCAGTATCATGATAAAGGGAGAAAAGATTGAAGTTGTCGGGGGATGTTACTTGGATCCGCAATCAATACCCATGGAAGTAGCAGTCAAGAAGTCAGACGCCTTTAAAGTGTTAAGGAGCAGTGATGTCACTTTGAAGACCAAGATGTGCCAGACCCAAGCCATGGTAGTTTCAACTGCCTCATATGCCTGTGAAAGCTGGATAATAAATAAGGAAGACCAAAGAAAAATTGATGCCTTTGAATTGTGGTATTGGCAAGGAATATTGAAGGTACCATGGACTGCCAGAAGAACGGACAGAACTGTCCTGGAGGAAGTGCAGCCAGAATGCTCCTTGGAAGCGAGAATGGCTAGACTTGTGTTGTAGCTACTTTGGTCATGGGTCAGAAGGGACCATTCCCTGGAGAAGGATATCATGCTTGGTGAAGGGGAGGGTGAGTGAAAAAGGGGAAGCCCCTCAACGAGATGGACTGACACAGCGGCTGCAGTGATGGGCTCAAGCACAGCAGGGATTGTGAGGGTGGCGCAGGGCCCGGCAGGGCTTCCTTCTGTTGTTCACAGGGTCGCTGTGAGGCGGAGCTGACTCGGTGGCACCTAACAACAGTAACACAACCTTATGAGGTAGATTGTTGTTTCCTCACTCTTCATAGAAAGAAATTGAGGCAAAGGTTACACAGTTATCAGATGGGGTTTGAACCCAGGTGGTCTCAGTCTAACACCTCTGCTCATAATCATTTCATTACATGCAATAGTGAAGAACCTTACCTCAGTTCGTAGTCAGGTATTGGAGCCATCAGGTACAACACAGTTGAATTCCTTGTAGTTAAAAGGCGTGCTTGTACTTTGAAAACGTTTTGTAGAATTTGTTCCTGGTTACTGACCTACGTCAGTCCAGTTGTCTCCATTCAGAGGTGTTAACTCCGCCCCTTTGTGCCTTCCCAGTGTTGACGAGAAGCTGGCTGTGCTCCTTGCTGTGCCCTATAAGACCTTGCCCTGTCAGTTCCCTGGATTCCTGTGCAGCCTCCCCGCCGTCGTTCCTGCTCACACGTGTGCCTTACGCCCTCGCTGTGTCCGACTCACAACTCTTCTTTTAGGCCTGTGTGCCTGCACGCTGTTCTGCTCTGTCTCCCTGCCTTCTCGCACTCTTCAAGGCCCCTCTGCAGAAAAACTGTCCTGGACTCCCTGCCATCAGTCGCTCCCTTCTCTGAGCTTCCACTGGACTTCGCACAGAACGTGGTTCTAGTCCCAGTCCTGCTGCTGAGTCTCTTACCTCCCTCAGGAGACGGTGCTGGAAGGACTGGGTGGCCGTGGTCATTAATCCCTGTGCCTGCATCTTGCACAACGTCGTAGTACCTGTTCTGAGTAAAGGTTGGGGGTAAACGCGTGTTCGTGTGTTTTGGTCTTTGGGTTTGTTTTTATGGTTTGCGTCCATGTTTACTGAGTGCTGGTTCTTGACATCTCCCCTTTGCTTTTCCTCTGCTGCCCAGCTGGAGTGTGTCGGGAGTGTAGCCAGTGGTATCTCTGTAATGAGTTGGAGTCCGGACCAGGAACTGGTGCTGCTTGTCACAGGTATGCTGCCGCTCGGGCCTTGCTGCGGCTTTCATAAAACATTGTTCCTGGAGGCTTATGTTGGGTGCTTGCGTTGGAACAGTGACACAGCTTTGTAACCTGGATGGAATGTGTTCCTTTTGACTGAGTTTTTCCTCTTAATGTATTGTGATAGAAAGTGGTTTCGTATAACTTTTCCAGTGTTTGAAAGTGGGAATCAAAGTCATAAAATCTGGTGGGGCTGCCAAATGCACACTGAGAGGTTAAAATCTCAACAATATTTATTGATAACCGACAAGAACAAGTACTGTACAAACAGGTTCTAGGAGCCTGTCTTGTGGTCCTACTCTATTCTTTTAAGTCCAGATGAGTTTCAGTAAACTAGCACTATTGATGGGGTATATATTTGAAGAGGGATTTTGATGACTGGGACTTTTGAAGTTAGTGTAGGGAGGACTCTGAACTTTTATGTTCAGCTTTACATCTGGAAAGAGTTGAGAATAAGTACTAGGTGACTTACCCAGTCAGAGTCTTTTTTTTTTTCTCTCTCTCTCTCTTTCAAACATCAAAGCCTGTGAATGAGCTCCGTCTGTCCTGTTCTGACTGGCAGCTCCTTTACTCTAGCTCCCTGGTTTGTAGCTTCATGGAGACTTAGGGAATATGGCAAATTTATTACATGAAAATGAAATCATTCTTGTTTGTTCTCCTCCAAGGTCAGCAGACCCTGATTATGATGACAAAAGACTTTGAACCCATCTTGGAGCAACAAATCCACCAGGACGATTTTGGTGAAGGTGGGTCTACATGGTTTGAAATGTTTTGTGGCCTGAAACGTTTCCTCAGTTGTGATCATTCTCTTGCACACAGATGGCCATGTCATAAGCCAAAGAACTATGAAGCTTAAACCCCCATTTGTTCAATTCACATAGTTCCTTTGGCCCATCCCAGACCTTAAAAGACATACCTCTGCTGCCCCTCGAGGTCGTGGGTGGCTTTTTTTGTTAGTAACCGGGGCAGTAGAAATGTGTGGATAAGTTCACTTAGATCATTGCTACATGAGCCCTAGGAAAGGCTTGGTCTGGGGGTTCCATGAAAGGGACTGTCCATGTAGAATAAGGCAAGCATTTCTGGGAGACAGCTTCAGAGAGAGAATAAGAGGTAGTTGAAAGGCTGATACTTTTCCTGCTGATTGGACCTGTACCTGCCCTTTCATGAGAACAATCACATTGCTTTCTGGCTGAGGTCTAGCCAAGGCTGTGTAGGCGTTGAGGCTGTGGGAACACTGAAGGGAGAGGAGATCCTTAATGAGGGTGAGACGCTCCGGCCAAATTGAAGGCACCAGGTAGCTGGTCTGCTTGAGGAGATGAGTAGGGAAGGAGGTTTTTGAGCTTTTGCTGAGGTCCAGCCTCATGCCTTCTTGCTCCAACAGCTCTGAGAAATGATGTAGAAAACTGCTGTTATTCGTTCAAACATAGTTCGTTTGTTCAGAAACCACTTGCTGAGTCAGTGCTGTGAAGCCAGTTCTGTGTTCCTGCGTGTGCCATAGGTGATTTAAGATGGTTGAACAGCTCTTCCCCTATGAAGACTTGCAGTGTGGTACTGAACGTCAGTGTCCCCCTCTGTGGAAACACGCAGTACCATGCTGACATGATAGGCCAGGCATTTGAGTAGCACAAGGGGGGAGGGAGTAACTGCAGAGGAGAATCTTCCCGGAAGAGGCAGCCCTGGAGCCAAGGTGGGGCTGAGTTGGTGTTGGGTCGCTGAGAATTGAGGGTGGAGGCTCCAGCTGGGGAGAGAGTCCATTCCAGGGAGGGATGTTTCCTGCAGGCCTTTGACCCATCATGCCTTACTCAGGGTGCTGTGAGGCACTCGGGGATGCCGTAGCAGCAGAAAGTGAGTGGGATGAATAAACGAGACTGACTTTGATTACGTTTGTGTGCCATGGTAGTGAGTTTGGGCCTTGAGAGATGGTTAACCATGAAAGGTTTTGATGTAAAGAGATTTTTGTACTAGAAGGATCATACTGGTGGCTTTCTTTCTTTTTTCTTTTTATTGTGCTTTGGGTAAAAATTTACAGAGCAACCTTGTTTTAGGTACAACAGTTCACGCACGTCTGATTTCGTGGTCCCGTTACCTTCCCCAGCCATAAAAACCCCCTGTGCCTTCTCATCCATGCATTCCTGTCTGTCCAGCTTTCCCTCTGTGTGAGTGCTACCCCTCTGGTGTCTCAGGGCTGATTGATCCAAGGGGTGCATCTCCCTGGAGTAGGTCGGTGTATTAACCTGGGATAGGTTAGGTCTTTCTATTACTGGACTGAGAGCCCATCCATGTAAGTGAGTCCATTTCTAGGCCCGAAGGGTAACCTAGGGCCACCGTCTCTTTCTGACCAGTAGTTCTGGTCATTTTTGTGTTTTTGAATTTTGTTCCATGTTTTTCTTCCCACTCTGTCCAGAATCTCCAGATCTGATCTCTTTCCAAGTGGTTGGCATTGGTAGCTGGGCGCCATCTTGTTCTTCTGGTCTTGGCATGGAGGCTGAGGTCTTCGTGGTCCATCTTACCTTTGGACTAATTATGTCCGGATGACTTTGATTTTCTTTGCTCTTTGTTTCACACTAGAAGAAACTAATCGTTGCATCTTAGATGGCAGTTCGAAAGCTTTTAAGACCCCAGGTGCTGCTCACCAGAGTAGGTTGTAGAACAAAATTTTTATGGATTGTGTGTGCCAGTTGAGCTTAATGTTCCCTGAGACCACGGTACCAAGTCCACAGACCCAGTGATTACAAGGATCACTCTTAATGGCATATTTTGTGCCCGTGTGGAGAGGGAAGAGACTGCCGGCAGGGTGATCAGGTAGGAAGTTGCTTTGGGAATCCAAGTGAGAGATGAAGAGGGTGAGAGTGGGGCTGGAAGAAGAAATGAATTCAGGAAGAATTTGATTCTCAGAATAGGGAGTATATTTTCAGGGATTATCAGACAGACTTTTTCAGAATACATGTGTGTGGGTCTCCTGCCCTAATCAGTTGGAAAACTACCAGTTTAAGAAGTGAAACAAATGGGCTTTGGTGTGTACGGTAAGGAAGAGTTCAGTGTGAGGCCAGCCAGAGGCTCAGGTGATGGGAATAAAGATGTGGGTGAAGTAGAGGAAGGATCGGGAAGGTGCTGCTTTGCAGTGGGTTGCTGGTGAGTTCTGTTGAGGATTAGTTGAAGGTCCATGGGATTGCCACGTGGGGCAGGCACGTAAGGGGCTGCCGCTCAGGAGGGGCCCCCCCGAGCTAAGGCCGGCACTCATTGGTGTGTAGGGAGTCTTTACAGTTTGAGAAGGAGTGGGATTGGCCAGGGAGCAGAGGTGGTGCTGGGCCAGTCTAGGATCCGGGATGGAACTCGGGAGCATCCAGCTGGAGGAGACAAGAAAGTCATCGCACACCTTTGGATGAGAACGGGACCTGGGCCTGGCAGTTCCCACCCAACGTTTTCATAAAAAGCCTTTGGGTCTTCAGTCTTAGAAATGTTTGTCCATTGCAAAAATGACTCTTCTAATCCAGGGGTCAGCAAACGTTTTCTGGAAAGGGCTTGATAGTCAGTCTTTTCTGCTTTGCCGGGTATATGGTCTCTGTTGCAACTCTTCTGCTGTTGTCATGGGAAAGCAGTTGTACACAGCATATGTGGGAATGGACATGGCTGTGTTCCTATGCAGATGTGTTTGTGAAAACAGATACAGGCCAGTTTGCCAGTCCTGCTCTGGCCCCATCACGTATTGCCTGATCCCCTTGGAAAACATCTCTTGTTTTTTCTCCTTATTCCTTTACCTCTCTGGAAACTTGGAGCTAGAAGCCAGGGGTGGTGTGCCAGGGTAGGCACTGTTACTCGTATGTAGCAGCATGTACTGTGGTTTTTTGGGTACTTCAGTCCTTGGGTTGGCCTGTGCAGAGGAGACCGGAACTGCTTATACTGGGCTCCTAAGTTACAGAAATTGTAAGTAGTCCTACCTCAGGAGAGTCGGTGGCAGGAGGGAGTTCCTGGGTCCTGGGTCTGGCTGCTGCTTTCAGGTGCTGCGTCCTACCTCCAGAACAGAGGACTGCATTGTTTGGACCGTTCTGACTTTATATTGTGAGGAGGGGAGCATCGTGGGCTGAAAGGAGCCAGCCTGGAAGGCAGAAGCCCATGTTCTAATTTGGACTCTGCCACGAGGTGGTCTCAGCCTCAGAGCCTACGTAAGGGGCTGGGTTCAGTGACGTGTAGTCCCCTACACACTACCACCTGGGAACTCAAAACATTTAGTTGATTGAAAGCTTTCGATTAGAATCTTGTTCTCACCTCTTGTCTTGAGTTTTACATTTTGTAACATGGACATACTGTGCCAGTTCTTCTGTTGCTTTCTTCCTTCCTGTAACGTGGGGTGAGACTGCTGGACCTGGATCACCAGCAGCACTTGGAATACATAAGATAGAAAGTGCTTTCCAAAGTGAGGGCATTTCACGTTGTTCAGAACCACCACTGCCTGTGATGAGGAGCACGGGGCTGTCAGATGCTGCCTTCTGTTCAGGGAACTGAGAAGTCTTAGAGAGGACCCATGGAATCCCCAGGGATGAAACTGCCTTCATTTCATTGAGCTTACTGGTGGTTTTGCATGTCCTCTAATCATTCTCTAGGCAAGTTTATCACTGTTGGATGGGGCAGAAAGGAGACTCAGTTCCATGGATCGGAAGGCAGACAAGCGGCTTTTCAGATGCAAATGGTAAGCTTGGTCTGACGGATAAAGACTCTTCATTAGGACAAATGAAAATTTCCGCCAGGAAATCGAAAGAGTCCAGCCAGCGCTCAGTAACGGATAGCTCTCCTGCTCTCGAGCCCTCAGGAAATGAGTGAGTCGCCCTGGAGAGGAGTAACTATGACCAACGTTCATCACCCAGTCACAGCAGTGCAGCCTCACTGGCGGGAATGGAGCGCCCTGTGCCCCATTCCCGGTATCGTTCCCCCTCTCCTGAGGGTCACTAGGGATCCACGTTCACGGGCACGTTGACGTGCTCTTCCCACACATGTACATGTCAGATTATGTACACATTAGACGTTTTCTTTGTGATTTTCCTTTGGGATGAAGCTCTTTGCTTTCCTTCCTCATGAATTAAAATTCTGACTTCACTCAGTGATGTCCTGATGCCCACATCATATAACACAGAGGGTCCTGGAGGCAGAGCCACGTGAACACAAGCATACTCTTGCGACATCTGGGGAAGTAGCCTCAAGTGTGTACCGCCACGTTAAGTTTCCTTAAATTGATAGGCTTTACTTAATTTATACATTATGAGTATTATAAAAAAATATATATTAACTTAAAAACATTATTATTGAGTAAAATTAACACCTCCGGAAGATAAGTCGTGTTTATCCTCAGGCGTGCTCCCAGGTGTCCCCGTGGGTGACATGTCTCTGTTACAAAAGTGCAGATTCCGTCTTCTTGCCACTTAGTAGCCATGAGACTGTGGCAGGTTCCAGCCTGTTTGAGCCTCAGTAGTATCTGTAAAGTGGACATAATAGTGTCTCCCTTACCAGGACTGGGATGAGATTTGGTGGTTGTATGTATGTATGTATGTGAGGCTACCACAGCACCAGGTACTCACTCAGATGGTAGGGGCTGCTGTTATTTTAGTGGACAAATACTTTTTGAAACTTAAAAAATACATACTTTTTGTTTCAAAGCACCTGTGTTTTGAAAGTGAGCGCTGGATCTACTTTAGTATTCTGAATGCTGTGCTGGCCCAATTGGAACAGTGAGGGATGGGCAGCAAAACGGAGTAAGAATTCCCAGACATGACCCGCTTCCTCAGGATGAACTCCGTGGTTGTGTAATTTAGGGTACCTTTTCTATCCCTCTGGTTTGTAACTGGTTTTTGGAGGAGTGAAAAAGAAAAGAAAAAGCAACCCGACCAAGTCAGTCGTTCCCGCACATTTGTATTCTCGTATCCTGTCTAACCAGGGGCCGTCGAGTGACTTGCGACTCACGGCGGCTCTGGGTGTACTATCCTCTAGGCGGCAACTAAGCGTGCTTCCAGACCAGACAGTTTAAAAGTAATATGGTACTGGTAGCTGCTACAGCTGGACCACCCTCAGAAACATTGTGCTGAGTGAAAGAATCCAGTCACAGAAGACCACATATGTCATGTGATAGTTTATATGAAATGTCCAGGGGAGGCAAATCTGTAGAGACCAGAAGTAGCCCAGTGGGTGCCTGGGACTGGGGATATGGCCAGGGAGTAGATAGTGACTGCTAGTGGGTATTGGGGTGATGAAGATGTTTGAAATTGGGATTGTGGTGATGGGTACCCAACTGAGAAGAGCCTGGATGGATCAGTCAGTTGCAAGCACTGCTGTGAATGGTTTGCTTTTTAAGCTATTGATCTAGCCCTGCCCTTACACATGGCCTGGGCTCTCCCCGTATCTTATAACGGTGATTCCGGTGGCTGCCTGGTACCCTGTTTCCACCTGCCTTGAAAAGCAAGTCTGTCACTGTTGGATGGGGCACAAGGGAACTTTGGACTTTGAGTTCTTTGCTTGGTGATTTCTGGGTTTAATAGCCTTCTAGAGGGTTCCTTAGGATTCTGTGAAGCTCCTTCTCTAGAGAGCTGCATCTGCACGTAACAGATTCGATGATAGTTGAGAACCTGAGGTACGTTTGTCTGTGGGCCCCAGTAACTCAAGCGTTTCTTCTCTTTCCAGCCCCATTCGGCTTTGCCCTGGGATGACCATAGCCCGCAGGTCACCTGGCGTGGGGATGGACAGTTTTTTGCTGTGAGTGTTGTTTGCCCAGAGACAGGTATGGAAATAAATTGCAGTTAAAGTTGTTTTTTAATCTTAGTAAATTCAGGAGAATAGTCTTCCTTTTGCTTTGGGTGGGGTTTTCTTTCATTATGTCTTTAAGAGAAAGCTATGGTGCTTTTGATGTTAAATGAGTTTGGCGTTCAGAACTAGAAGAGTTCTTGGGGCAACCTGATGTGGCTACATTATTTTAACATGTCCTAGGTCACGTAGTCTCCATAGTACTTGAGATAAAGAGTCTGGCCGTTTGGAAAAATGTTCCCTTTACGGTAAGCCACCAGACAGTCGCTTTCCCAGTTACTGGACAGCCTGTAAGAATAAGACAGCTGCTTCCGTGTGATAGCTCCTCCCATGTTTGAATCTTCTCTGAGTCTTCTTTCTTTGCTGGCCTCCATCTGCCCCACCCTACCCTTTATCATGACAGTAAATAGCCCATTCCTGTTACCTGCGTAGCAGTAACTAGGTTTCCAACATGTGAGCAGTCTCTTCTGTTACTCCCTGATGACAGTTTAGTCACAGATGCCCCATTCCATGTGAGGATTCATTTTAAGTTTCCCATGAGATGCATCTAATTTGCTTTGTAAAACCAAGGCAATTTTTGTTGATAAGGAAGGTGTTTGGGAGGTTTCTGACTTAGCAGTATTTATCACAATATTTGAGCTTTTTCATTCCTGACTTCGCCTCCTGCCCAGGGGCTCGCAAGGTCAGAGTGTGGAACCGGGAGCTCGCCCTGCAGTCGACCAGCGAGCCTGTGGCGGGACTGGGGCCGGCCCTGGCATGGAGGTGAGCCGGAGAGGGGACTCTGGGAATTCCTCCTCAGAGAATGTCTTGTCTGTGGTCGTGGTGGAGATCCTGATTGACTACACGTTTGTATAACTCACAGGGATATTCCTTTTTCTCATGTGGTTGTGAGCCTGTATCTTCCATATTTTTTAGTTTTCTGAAGTCTGGATTTGACTTGAGTAGTTCATGCTGGACTTGTTCCCAGATGTCATCATTCCTAGGCACACACAGTTTACATCCCTAATTCTTCATAGAGTGTCTTGTGTGTAGCCTCAGCATAAGGCAGAAAATAGTGTTTGGAGGGGAAGTTGCCTCCTGCACATCTCAATGAGGTGGGTGGAGCTTTTGTGAAAATTACAAGAAGAGGTTCCTTTCTCTGCACAAACTGTGGTATTAACCCCCACCAGGCTACAGGATCTCCTTGCTAAGGAACACACAGGCTTGGATACGGGCCCCTCGCACCCCCCTTGACTTCACCAGTACCCTGTGCAGCCCACACCTGCCTGTCCCGTGCCGCTGCCTTAGTTATAGATACGAGAAATAGCTCCTCTCTCTCAGTAGCATGTGTTATGTGCTACACCGTTAGGTCTCTAGACATCTTGTCTCGAGATGTCAGACTTCTTGTTTCCCTGAAAACTGTGTGTCCATTCATTTGAGTGACAGTGGATGACAGAGCAAAAGGAGAAACAAGTATGAGTTAAAACTCTAGAGACAGTCGGCACAAGATAAGGCAGGTGAGGAACTTCCAGTGGATTGAGAGGTCTTAAAACCCCCGCCAGAGCGTGGAGTACTTGCTGGCATCATAGAGTTGAAGGACAAGCAGGTTAGACTTTTATAGCAAATTGAACAGGGGCTGGTTTAAACAATTACTGTTTTTTTTAAAAAGCTACCCAAGTGCAGTCTAAATCTGCACAGCTATGTGGGCAAATGGAGCCTTTGTGCAGACTACAACAAGACACCTAGTGCCACACGTGAGGAAACGCTTGTCAGGACACAAGGTTCAGAACTTCCTTCCTTGGATGAAAGTTGTTTTTTGCTGAAAAAAAATCATTTCTCTCCATTCATCTTGGGGCTGAGCCCCCGGCTACCCCTGCACATCCCTAATTCTCTCTGGGTTTGCCTCAGGCCCTCCGGTAGTCTGATTGCCTCTACCCAAGACAAGCCCAACCAGCAGGATGTTGTGTTTTTCGAGAAAAACGGCCTTCTCCATGGACACTTTACCCTTCCCTTCCTCAAAGATGAGGTTAAGGTAGGTGCCTCAGGTGTTCAGTCCTCCGATTTACAGGACTTTGCACAGCTATCAGGAGGGTTCTTTCTGATCTGACTGTAAACAGAAGCTCCAGAGTAGTTAGTAATGAGAGGGGTGGCTTCTCAGATGCGATTTTTTCTAATAAAGAAGAAATTGTTTTTACAAAGAAGAAATGACGTTTCTTTCTTAGTCCCAGATAAAGCACTGTGTTTAAAGGTTTTACTGCCACTCACAGGTAACAAGTATGAGCAAAATTATGACCTCATTTATATATCCAAAAATATTGTAATACATTAAACTTTAGCCAAAAGTCAGTGGTTCGAACCCACCAGCTACTCCGTGGAAGAAAGATGGGGCAGTCAACTCTGTGGCAGTGAGTTTGGTTGTTTATATATAATAACAATAACTGTATTAGATACTAGTTAGTATTAGAAGGAGCTCTGGTGGTATAGTGGTTAAGGCATTTGGCACTAATCAGAGGGTCACTGGTTCAAACCCACCAGCCATTCACAGAAGAAGGAGGGGCAGTCTGCTTCTGTAAAGATTGATAGCCTTGGAAAACCAATGGGGTCTCTATGGATCAGAATCAGCTTGATGGCAGTGAGTTGAGTTTGGTTTATTACTATCAGTCCTTGGGTAGTGCAGTTGGTTAACACACTTGACTGCTTGCTGTCTGGAAGATTGGCGGTAGAAGTCCACCCAGAGATCCCGTAGAGGAAGAGCCTGGTGATCTTGCAAAACATGAGCAGTTGAAAACCTCATGGTGCGCAGTTCTGCCCTGACACGTGGGGATGCCAAGTCGGGATTGACGCAGTGGCAGCTAGCAACTGTATCTGAACTGTATCATTGTACTTAGGCTTGCATTGGACCAACCTAAGGGTTGACAGTTCTAACCCCCCGAGTGGTACCATGGAAGATGGCCTGGTGAGCTACTGCTGCTGAAACTTTCAGCCAAGAAAACGCTGTGGAACAGTTACTCTATAACACATGGGTCAGTCTGATGTTCTTCTTGTGGTTAGGTTTGTTCAGTAACTCTAGGGTAGTAATTTACAGCTGGAACCAGCTCAAAACCAGAAACCAAACTCACTGCCACAGAGTGGTTTACAACTCATAGCAGCTCCCGTCAGGTCTCCACGGCTGTAAGTTTTTACGAAAGCAGGCTGCCTTATCTTTCTTCCACGGAGTGGCTGGTGGGTTCAAACCATACACCTTTGGTTAGCAGCCAGATGCCTTAACCACTACCCCACCAGAGCACCTTAGAATTAGCTCAAGTATTGGGATAATTTGGTTTGTGAAGGCAAGAGATTCAACTATTTTATAGGTTTTGAAATAAATCCATAGCTAAAGCCACCGACAGAGCTTTTTTCTTCCGTGAGGTCAATGCCCTGCTGTGGAATGCTGACTCCTCGGTGCTTGCGGTTTGGCTGGAAGACCTCCAGAGGGAAGAAGATGCCACTCGGAAAACCTACGGTAGGACAGCTGTCGCATGACAGCCACATGCCCCATGGTAACCTGGAGGAAAGTAGTTGGGATTGCTGTCATTCCTCCAGCTCGGTCCCAGGTGATTTTAACATGCAGCCAGAGTAGAGCACCTCTGACTGTACCATGTGTCGAAGACTGGGCAGCGTAATATGCTCAGGATAACAATGGGATACAGGACCAGCCATGACGGAGTGTGCCCTCACGGAGTGACGGAGAGTGTGGTCCACCTTCCCAGTTCATAGCTAGGTGGTTGTATTGTGACAGTGCAGGTAGAGAACCTAAGTTGACAGCGAACAGGGAGATGTTTGAAGAAAATATATTCCTTAATTAAGATCTTAATTTCTGTGCTTCATCTGTTTAATACAATTAGGTTTTTAAATGATTAGATCCTGTTCTGTTAATAGATTTCTAATATCGAAAGGTCATTTGAATGCTAATCTCCCTTGGAAGGAGCCCTCGTGGCACAACTGTTAGCTGCTTGGCTGCCAACCCAAAGGCTGGCGATTAGAACCGCCCAGTGGCTCTGTAGGAGGGAGATGCGGCAGTCTGCTCCCGTGAAGGTCACAGTCAGGAAACTTACGGGGCAGTTCTCCTCTGACACGTGGAATCAATCTCAGTTGGATTCAACTTGATGGCATCTAACCACCGCATTCTCCCTCGGACAGCTGAGTAACAGTTGATACCAGATAGACTTGGACACAATGCATTGCAAAGCCCTGGAAGAAAAGCAGCATTTCACACTTAAACAACATGGTGGTGCCTGTTCAGTTACTCTTGGATTGAGTGTTTAACACTGTCTAATGGCCTAATGTTTTTCTTCCCACATCTTTATGAAAAGAACTCACTAAATGCCATCCTATCCTAGTAGCCTTCCATCATTATCATGAGATTTGAAGGTGAAAGTAGAAATAAATGTGTAGTTCTACCTTGTTGATGCTTGACAACTTTCCCCCCGTGAAATACTCTTAACAATCAGTATTACTATTTCAATGAAGAGGTTGAGTGGGAAGGGTCACTTTAAAAAAAAAAAAAATGCCCTCTGACCTCCCAATAGGCGCATAAAATCTGACCCTCCCAGCCTCTGATGGCCTTCCCTTTGTTTTCCCTTGTAGTTCAGCTCTGGACTGTTGGAAACTATCACTGGTATCTGAAACAGAATCTTCACTTCAGTGCCTGTGGAGAAAACAAGCCCGTGTCTCTGATGTGGGATCTGGTGACCCCATTCCGGCTGCACGTTCTCTGTCAAGGCTGGCATTACCTCTGCTGCGACTGGCACTGGACAACTGACCGGAGCTCGGGAGACAGTCCCCGTGCCTTGGCCAATGTGGCCGTCATTGATGGACGTAAGTGACTGGAAAGTGTGCACTGGCCATGAGCCTGAGGGCTTGGTTTGGGTTGGTTGTGTGTTTTTACTTCCTGTTGTTTTTAATTGAATGAGAATGCCCTTGGTGGTATGTGCAGTCTCCTCACAACTGTTTTCTTCTCTTCCACCCAACCTGCCAGCATAGCCCACCCAGTCCTCTGCTGTACCTTATCCATGACCTTCACACTTAAACGTGTCTGGCCTTTGGAGGCATTTAGTATTTTCTAACACAGAAGATGTGAACAGTAGTCTTGGGAAAGTCAGGTGTTAGCTTGTCTCTTTGCCCTGATAGATTTATATTGGTTCTTGTTCTACTATGTTGCTTTGTTTTCTGATACAGCACCTGGCAATTATATATCTCCCCAGTATGTTCATTTCGAGTTGTGTGTCTGTCTAGTGTGAGGAGGGTTTTTATTAGGGGAGATAATAGTAACTGGAGCAAGAAGTAGTCACCAACTATTTATTATTCCTGCTGTAAAAGAACACATTTCTAAGATGGTGATGTGAGTTGGTGCCCATTGATGTTTTCTGTAGTGGTCTTAGCACTGGTTTTATGAACATAGGCTCTGCACTGACTCAGATCTGCCTTGCTCGCAGATCCAGGCGTGGGAAATGCTTTAAGGAATTTGAAGGTGCTGATCCTCGTGGTTTGGTCTGACTTGGTTTACAAGCTCAGGTTTCCAGCTAGAACTGTGACCTCTTCACCTTCATGCTTTCGTCCCTGCACCTGAGGCCACCAAATCCAAAGATGGACTAGTCTAGGCCTGGAGGTGATAATCATCAAATGATTCAGTCAGAGCCCCTGGCATTTACTCCCTCCCCCCAAAAATGGGTCATTATTGAGAAAAACAGTGGAAATTACTTTTAGAGGGAATTGCTGTGTATCTCCTGGAGTGATTGCGTAGCCACGTGGTGCTGTTGGGACACCTGTCTTTACAGAGTGAGTATCCATACGTCTGGTGCCCTTGTGTTTCTTTCTCACGTGCAGACAGGGTGTTGGTGACCGTCTTCCGGCAGACTGTGGTTCCTCCTCCCCTGTGCACCTACCGGCTGCTGCTCCCGCAGCCTGTGAATCAAGTCATGTTCTCCGCACACCCTCAAGGGAGTAACGACCTCGCTCTCCTGGATGCCAGCAACCAGATTTCCATTTATAAATGTGGTATGTTCAGAAACTGATTGGGATGTTCTGAGTCAGGTCCCTTCTTCTCAACAGAGGCACGTGACTGTTCGGTGGTGCGTAAGCGCTAGTGTTTCTCCTAATTTTGAAGTTTATGTTTCACCTCCTTAGTATGGTGTTTAATTGGCTTGAGAGCTTTGTATTGTTTTTTTCCTTTTTCCTACTTTTATCTGGCTTTTAAAGTAGTTCCTTTCACTCTACTGAACTTGCTGAGTCAGTTTGTCAGGCCTGAGGACAGGGTAACAAACTCTTACCTCTGTAATATGCTTTACAATGGTCATTGCCTCTGCACATGTTGTCAGTTGCTCTTTCCAGCCCCATGCAAGCTGTGTCACATGTGGAGGGGACAAAGTCCGAGAAAGCCTGGGACTCCCTTGAGGTCTCGGTGATAGAAAAAGAATGGACAGGGGGCCCTGCAGGGTTCTAGCTTCCAATCTCGTCTTCCCATGGTGCCCTCCTGCCAGTTCCTAGTTGCTCTCCCAAGGTACCAGAAGAACCAGACATTTGTTTTTGAGTTCTGTGTCATGTCATAAATTATACTAACATATGCATTAGTAGCTTTGGTTCCAAATGTCTTTTAAATTCTTAGTTAGAAAAAGCATAGGTAGCTACTGAGAGATAATGATCAAAATTCACTAATAGATACAGGAATTCCCTACTTACACATCAGGTTTTCTGTTAAATCAAAGCCTACCTTTTATATAGATCCTACTTGGATACATCACCAGCTTCTCAGGTTTTCAGTTTTCATTCCCTATAAAAATGTAGTTGCCCTCCTTAAACTTTGAGTTTTTAGTAGCTTTTTTTGAATAACAGTGATAGGTTCTTTGCAAAGCCACTTCAGGAAAAAAAAAAATTAATTGCTTTTCAAAATAGGTTTTTCATTAGCTAGTCATATCAAAAGGAAACAAATGATTGTCCCTGGTATGCTATTACTATTTCGATATCTTACTGTTGGTTTTAGGAGATTAAAAAGAATGAGCTGCAGAATAAGCTTTTGTGGTGCTTACCTTCTTATACTAACTTGAGATTATGTGTTATTTTACAATGATAATGTATTTTGTCCTGCTTTTACCTTAAACAAATCAGCTCTATTGAGTTTATATCATTTCTCCACTTAAAGTGCACACTTAGGTGATTTTAGAATATTCATAGTATCGTACAGCCATCACCACAGTCAGTTTCAGAACAACCTCCTCACCCCAGAGAGCAGCCCTGTAGCACCTCCATTGATCTTAGTTGATATGCACAACTCTGTGGTCAGCTAGGGCAGGGCGAGAAGGCTGGCTCAGCGGTCAGGTCGGGCTGCCTTTGGAAGGCTAGTTGAGCATCAGTGTGTGTGAGGGTCACAGGTGGTGATGCAGCCAGAGTTACCGGTTAGGAGATGCTGTGGCTGTGTCTAGGCAGGAGAAAGTGAAGGCTTGAACCAGAGGAGTGGCAGCAGAAATAGAAGGAGAGAGGAATTACACAGATCTAGGGCCTTGGAGCCTTTGAGGAGTTAGGGAGCAGACTGTGGAGAGTTTGGAGAGGAGAACATCTGGCAGAAGGTGGTGGGAGACCTTATTAGAGAGGAAGCTTTAGAGATTAGCATTCAGCATGGAAGAGCTTCAGGTGGTGACCCAGGTGTGGGTGAGTCAGGTGGAATTGAAGTTGATGAAGCCGATATTGGGTGCTGGCACGGTGAGCCGAGGATGAGGGCGAGTTGGTGCGCTCCAAGAGTGCTAGTGTGGAAGTGGCTGGCATGAGCTCCCAGGTTGTGCGGGTGTTAAAGAGCAGTAAGTTTCATTGAGCTCAGAAGAAACCGGAAGAGAAAAGTTTGGAGTCAGACAGAATAGTCCTAGTTTGAGATCCCAGAATGGAACAGATCAGAGTTGCATTCAGCACCTAAACTAAAGAGAAAATAGCACTTACTACAAAAGAGGAATTTTGAGGTGAGGGGGACATTGGAGACGAATGGAGACAAATTAGATGCCAAAATGTTCCAATTAGATGCCTTTGTTTTGTTGGTGTGTATTGGTCTTCTCTTATGTGCCAGGCTTTTTTCTGGTTCTTGCCTTTGTGGAGTTAATACTCTAGCTGAGAAAAAAGGCTAGAAGTAACAGTTTAATGTGTCGGTGGCACGTGCTGTGGAGGGAAATAGAGCAAGGATTACTGTAGGAATAGAGATTACTCAAAAATAATCTCTTCTCCGGGAGAGCCGGAGGGCAGGGGCTGTGGGGGGAGGGGCATTTTGCATTGAGGGTCGTCAGAGAAGGGCTCTCTGGGAAGGTGACATTTAAGCAGAGACGTGATGGGAATCAGAGAGGGAGCCATGAATTCATCTGAGCAAAGGATGTTCTCAGCAGAGTCACAAAGCAGCTGCAGAGGTGCCGGGTCCATTTAGGGAAAGGCAGCGAGGCTGGGGAGATGCAGCCGGGTGAGCGGGGCGAGTTGTGGGAGCTGAGATCACAGAGGTGATGCACGGTGTGTGTGGGGCCATGAAGGCCCTGCTAAGACCTTGGCTGTTATTCTCAGACAGATGCCATGAGAGGGTTTGGCTAGAGGAGTGCTGTGTTCTGAGTTAGTGTTTGAAAGGATTGCGTTGGCTTCTGTGCAGTAAATAAATAGAGTTAAAAATGGAAAGAGAATGTCTTA